GCTGCACAATTATGTCTTGCACCATGCTCGAATTTTTGGTGTTATCTTCAAGAGAGATGAAGTAAGTTCAAGTCATCCTGACAGTGACAGTGTTGGGTCTTCACCATTGGTTAACTCTGCCTATGATGTTGATGTCTTAGTGATCGATGATTGACTGTTTCTATCGATCGCTCTATCCTCATTTGTAATGCTAACTTAGAATATTTGAATGTATTAAAATATATGTGTGTCTAGCTCGTGGTAAGTATGTTGAGCCATTTTTTTTATTCAACACACAATAGCGTGTGTGCATGTAGCTTCACGATTCTTACCTAATAGTGTTGTCTTCGTTTTGTATGTATAGTGGAAGGCAACAATGAATATAAACATATCACTTACGTGTAATTATGTAGTACGCTGTCTTACTTTTGCATCTTCTGTTGTATAAGGCTACATGTGGTAATGAAATATGTTTAGATGGATATTGATTCGTGTATATCGATGTTATTTTTTTTTTGAAACAATGTGGGACAATGTTATGAGCAAATTAATGTGATCATATTGGTGAACTATTGCAAAAATTAAAACCAAATTATGTTCGGTATTTCCACTTGGTGACACAACTGAGAATTGGAATGAAATATAAAGGTGGACAACATAAATATAATTGCAAACCCAACATTGACTTTGAATTGGATAGGAGTGAAGGATAAAATTGTAATTTAATGTGAAAGTAAAGAGATTTGACCCAAAAAACAAAGATTTTTCCGTGGGCTCCATAATATACAAAATTACTTCCCAAATCAAGTATAGGATTTCACAATTTTATTACTATCTTATCTATGTCCGGGGTATTGAGTTTTTATTGGATTAAAAAGCCAAACCAATCTTATCCCCCAAAGATTTGCCAACACACACCCTAAAAGGGTGTTTGGGTTGATGGATAAACTTGGATAAAGCAAGTTGTATTGGATAAATAACCGACGGATCCCATTTATCCTTGGTTTGGCAAGTCATTTTTAGACTGGACATTCGTAGCCCATGAAAAAATCGGCCCGTAGTGATTGGGCTTGTTTATCCCCTCTCAAGTGGATAATCAAATCCCACCAAAACTTTGGGATTAAAAACTTGCCTACCGGATAAAAAATGCAATTACCATTAGACCCCTATATAGCACACCACTCTAGGGTTTTTTTATCCTCTCTTCCCCTTTTTCACTGGTCCCCAACTTCCAACGGCACCAAATCCTCCCCAATGGCAAGGTAATGTTCTCTCTCTCTCTCTCTCTCTCTCTCTCTCCCCTATCTCTGTCTATGTATATATATCGCAAATATATATATTAGTTGAGAGATGTTTGGGGCATGTCGAGAATTAGAGAGAGAGAGAGGGTGAGAGAAAAATAGAGTCTCTCTCTATTGGGGCATGTCGGGAATTAGAACCCAAGACCCAATTTAAAGTTAATCCTTCATCAAGAGCTTGATTGGAGCTTTCATTAGTTGTGGTTGGTCATCCATGCAACTTTATTGGAGCTTCTTTAGCTATGCATCAGAGAGTGAGAGAGGGAGAACTCGAGCTTGATTGCCCATGGAGGTCCCGAAAAATCAAGCCTTTGCATCAACTGTGTTAGTTAGGGTTAATCAAGCCTTGTATCAACTGCGCTCTATGTGTGCAATGGTTTGAGAAAGGGATGGATCATAGATGTGTGTTGGTTAGAAAGAGAGAGATTTGTTGGGTCTAACAGGTTGAATAAAGAGAGAAGGATAAGGGGAAAAAAAAGACGAGACTTATTTTTTGTGGTCAGGAGAAGACTTATGTTTGGTTTTTTTTTTTCTAACTAGACTTATATTTGGTTTCATGAATTATTATACCAAAAATATCTCTCATGGATCAAAATATAATGAGTGACAAACCTTAAGGACTATAGATGCAATTTATACAATATTTTAATATTTTTATAATTTTTTTATTTTTTTATTATATGAATGATTTGATCAGTTCACCCAACGATTGAACTAATGAATTATTGATCAGGTCTTATAATAAAAAAAATATAATGAGTAAAGTATTCTTATATATGTTGGACAATCTGTGATGTTTTATGTTAGACAATATTATTGGATTAGCTTCACATCATTCTAATCAAAACTTAGTATATGATTGGATTAAATTTATTAGCAAAATGGTGTAATGATCATTTTAATATCTTTTATCTTTACATGTTAATGGGGCCCACACAAGAAATGGTAACCATCCAAAGATGGGATAGGGTATGATACTTTACATTAGGATTGATTCAAATCGGACTACTTTGCATTGACTTGGCTTGAATTCAGATTAAATTCTAATCTAACACAATCCATCTATGACGATCCAAATATCTCTTAAATGTAATATGTAGGTTAAATGATTAAGTGATAAATATTAAAGAGTTCAGGTATAATTTACTTTTTTTTTTTGACAATAAGGCCGTGATTTGTGTACATCATATTATTAGCTGTCACACTCACTTGTCGCAACTTGTGCAAGTAGTTGCTCAATTGGGATCGACCAACCCCACGAGCCCATCCTCTCTCACTCAATCTGCACTTGAGGTCTACTAATGTTTTAGGATAACCCATCAACGTCATTGTGAATTTCCTTGCATACCCTTGTAATTTTCAACCCTTAACAATATTGTTTTGTAGTGAATATTTGGGGTTTACTTGATTCTCATATTAGGGTTTAGATAATTATGCTTACTGGTTTTTATACTTGCACTTCACATAAGAAAAAAAGATAATCAACAATTTAAGCTGCTCTGTTTTTTTCGCTTCTCTTTTTGCTGTTGAAAGTCGACAGCCTATGAGAGAGACAGAGCGGTCCAAGGTAAATTAAGGTTCTAGGCGACATTTTTATACGGGGCTCTATTAATATTTTATTTTTTATTTATTGAAATACAAAATATTGAACAAGTTTTTATATTCAATTTTTGACAATAAATCTTTCTCAATAGATAGTATAGTTAATTCTTTTAATCTTAATTAATTCATTTAATGATAAAATATGTGAACAAAGAATAATTTTAATACAATAAAAAATCATTCTTTACTCAAGAGTTATGTGCACACATGAAATACAAAACTTTGATAACACAGATAATTTAATTATAAATTATTTGGACTAAAATTTACATTAAGATAAAAAAGAACTAATTTTATAAATTTTCACTATAAGAAATAATGTATATAAATTTTTTATGTGAGTGAGAGGAATACAACTATAAACACACCCAAAAGTACTAGAAAAACTTAAATAAAAGCTTAAAAAGAGGGAGTAATTTTAAACTTAACAAAATTAGATATTGAGTAGACCTATTAAAATTTGGACCAAAAAATTTTAAATTATATCTAAAATACAATTATAACTAAAAAAAATAGGCCTATTATACTAAACATATAAATTTTATGGAGGCCTCCAAAATTTGGATTTAACTAAGTACAAAATAATTTTGGATCTAACAAAATTAAATATTAATTTCAAAATTTAAAATTAATATCTAAAGAAAATGAATTAAATTTATTATAATAAAAGAGTAAATATTTGTAGGACCTCTAAAATTTGGGGTCCTAGGCAAGCACTTTAGTTGTCTAGGGCTTGAGCCGGGAGTGGAGCAAGAAAGAATTGAAAGAAAATCTTGCGGGAGAAATGTTTGATTTTTAATACCACATTATGCCACTATTTTGGGCTTGGAAGTAAAATTTTTTTGTTAAGTATTGAGTACCTGGTATTAGACGGTTTTCCATATTTATAAACTTTTGTTTAGTTCTTGCATTCACTTTCGGGGTCTTACAGTGGGGCAATGAACATGAGAGTTGGGGTACACTGACCGTGGGTTCTTCTGATATATCTCCGACCGGAACTATATTATGATGTTTTATTATCTTTAATAGAAACTTAAATTTGAGTAAAAAAGGGGTAAAAACTTAAATTGTTATAGACATTTCTAATAGAAAAATTCAAGTTTAACAGAAAAGAAATTTAAATTTAAATGAGGAAAAATTCAAATTTAAAATAAGATAAAATATGATTATCAAATTTTTAATAAATAGTTCCTTGATATGGGTTTAAAAAAGAGTTTTTTTTCATTTAGTATGAATATGGATTTAACATTAGAAAAATATTCAAATTATTTTTATTCAAATTTAAATTTATATTAAAAAAAGATAAAAACTTGAGATATTCTTACCGTATTTATTTATTGATATTAAAATCTTTTCCTCCGAAGATAATTTATGATAATCGATAAATTGTGAAGAAATATATAAATAAATATAGACAGTCTAGGCTGACACCCAACTTCAACTTTTCCTATGTGGTCAATAATGTTGTCATCAAAAGGGTCTCTTGTTTGATTGGTTTTTTGTTGGCGTCAAATTTGAGTACTCTTTTTAGTTAATTTTGGACTTTCGGGTCTTTTTTCTTTTCTAGTTTGGACTACTTGAGATCTCTTTCGCATCCCAAAATCCAAAACCCTATTTACTGAATTGAATTCACCGTCAGCATTAATATATATATATATATATGTATTCCTGTTCCAAGCTGCCATTTATTGCATCTTTTGGGTTAATGGTTTTCAGACATTTCTCATGGTCTAACTGAAATTGTTGCCTTTTCTTCATGATTAGGGTCAGCATTTCACAAGTGTCCAATTTTTGAATTGAAAAGCGAATCACCATTGAATTCATCAGGCAACCTTTTCTATTCTGGGTGGTTGTGATATTTTTTGGAGGTAGTTTCTACTTCTAGTGCAGCTCCCCTGGCTATTTTTGGTTCTGTTTGTTTCTATTCTTGCTTAGTTCTATGGTACGACACATCTGCCAATCAACCAGCTGTTTGCTGATAGGCCTCTTAGACAAATAATTCAGAACCCAGTTTCAAGAGTTATTCTAGAGAATTCCATCATTGTGCAGATGGTTATAAAAGCCTAGATGTTTATATCTTCCTTTGTGAAAGAACGTGATATTGGACTCAAGCAAAGCTAGATGGAGGTCGATGAATCGGGCAAGAGCTCAGCATGGAGTAGAGAGCAGGACAAGGCATTTGAGAATGCCTTGGCAACTTACCCCGAGGATTCTTCAGATTTCTGGGAGAAAATTGCTGCTGATGTTCCAGGGAAATCTGTGGAAGAGATTAAATATCACTATGAGCTCTTAGTTGGTGATGTTGACCAAATCGAGGCTGGGTGTGTGCCTCTGCCTTACTATGATTCTTCTTCAGATGGTTCGACGACTCACGTTGGTGATGAAGGAAGTGGCAAGAAGAGTGGCGATTTTGGGAACTTCAATAGTGATACTAATCATGCTGGCAAGACTTCAAGGTCAGATCAAGAGCGCCGCAAAGGTATAGCTTGGACAGAGGATGAGCACAGGTAAATATCATTGTAATTTAAACTTCCCTTTTCGATAGGGATTTCTTTGATACCATCCCTTGCTAACTAATAGATCCACACACACTCTCTCACACACACTAGACGTTATAAATCTTGGTTAATGCTACTCTAATTTAGTGTTTAGTGAGTCCTATTTTAGCTTAGTAGTAACACAATATGCTTGTGCCATTAGTTGTATATATCACTGTGTGGGTTCTTGTCATAATAACTGGTTTTGAACAACAACTTCGCAAATATGTACCTATTTGCATGTGTAGTATATTTGCTTGAACTAGCATATTTACATAGTCGCGGGATGGCATCCGACGATACACACAAACTACTAGATAGAAGAAGAAAATGGTCATGACGAATGCTATCCTATAATAGGTTGCGGTTCGATAATGATGATGTGGTCCACTCGGTCAATGCGACAGAGAAGTCTTTGAGTCAACCAGGAGTCGAGTAAAATTCACTGTTTACACTATCATTGTAACTATTGACTAACCCTCGAGCATTGGGTTAGTCAATCCGCTCTACTGTATTAGCATCCCAACAGTTGATTCTAGTTTCGTTTTACTTCTTTCAGTTACAACTTACCTATTCATAAGTGTGTGTTCCAAGCTATGATCCAATTTTCTTAATTGGTGTGACTAATCTCATCTGCAATTCATGCTTTATCTTCAAAACATCTAGAAGCATTTAAAGCAACAAATAAATATTCGTTTCTAGTATGTCACGAATGAACACACAGTTTATACTGGTTTGGTTAATCCTTAGCCTACATCCACTCGTCTAACTCTACAGGTTGGACTTGAGTCCACTTTTAGGGGTTTGCTAGAACCACCCAGACTAAACTTCTGGTATATAAATATATAATTACAAAAACCATTATCCAACCTAGAAATTACTATATCTGGAATTTCCTACAAGTTTTTCTAGGTCACTTGCGAACCTAACTAATAAATCATACTCGAAGCTTTCGATAGGATTTGTGAAGATTTACTATGGCTCATTTACAACCAACCACAATAAGCAATTTCACAATGGGTTTTCAGTTGACTTATCAGTTCACCTAGAAACAGGTCTCTTACAGATCATTTCACTTAAGGTCTTGTAGCCTAACCTTGAGCCAAACATTTCTTTTAATGTGTAGGTCTTGTGTCTTGTGTTTTGTGTGTTAAAAAAAATGTGCCTCAATTACCTAAGCAATTGCAGTTTGGCCCGAATGAGGAAGGCCCACAGCTGCACTACTTGATTCTTGTAGGTTCTTGAGCTCGTGGGACTTTAGTTGTGAGATGTGTATCTTAAACCATTTAATTCTTCCCAAAAATACTCAAAATATATTAGCGAATGTGTATAGGCTTTTTGTGTTTGAAACTCTCCTAACTAGTTTCAAACCCATAAGGGTAATGTGGTAAATGGGCGTATGGGCTAAAATCGTTTAGTTTTTGGAAATTCTTAATATCCTATGTCTAGTCGACTAGCATCTAGACTACTAGATGCTGTTCCAGTGCATCAGTTTTTCTACAGTGCTGCTGAATCAGTCAAGCCTTTATATGGGACGTATGCCTAACCTTAGTGTATCAATCTTAACCACATAGGAATTACTTCCTTGAATCTTGATGCCTTTTGAATGTCGAAGTTCAACTTTCTTGGTTCAGTGGATGTTCTTCATGCCAGGTTGCCTCCATGAAGTCCCGAATGCTCAAGGCTTGTATCCACTCTTCTGTTTTTTAAGCTGCAATGTTGCCTGCATCTTAATTTTGTCATTTTTTCCTATGATATTTGTTTTAAATTATTTAATTATTAATATTAACGGTGGATTCGAAAAAAAAATAACAACCATAATTGTTAATATCGTACGATACGCGATACGTATTTGTTTACACCTAAGATAGTAAAATCTAAGAGTGACACGTAGAGATGATCTAATGGTCAAGAAAGAGTCAGTGAGAGTCCAAGTTTAACACGACGATTAAGGAAGTAGGACTCTAAGAATATCGGGAAACGAGAAAACGTGACATCATGAACCGCCAGTTAGAGATGATTTAATGCATGTCTGCATATCTTGGGGGAAGAGGCTATGATTATAGTCATGTCCAGAAAAATGGTTTTGACGGTTATGAACCATCTCCTATATATACCAAGGCAAAACTACAGAAAAGGATCTCTTGATCAACAAAACAACTTTACACAAAATAAACCTTTTTTTTTCACTTAGTTTATTTCTTTGCAAATTTCCTTTAACTTGTAACCTAGGAAGTACGGATACAGATACGGGGATATGACAAAATTCTAAAATATAAGACACGGGTGCGGCTAATTAAAATAATATAAATTTTTTTTGTATATAATAAAATTAATAATAATTGAGTAATTAATTAATATTTTATAATTGAAAAAATGAATTAATAGTAAATTTAATTAGTGGGCTAAATGTTATGGACAGTGGGCTAAATGTTATGGGGAATGGGCTAAACTAATAGGATGTCATTGTAATTTAACATTAAATACAAGAGTTTAGTTATTTGGTGGACACTACACCACCACAACGAAGAAGCTTCGAGAGAGAGAGAAAGAGAGAGGCGTGACTGATAAAAAAAGAAAAAAGAATTGGAAAGCTTATATCTACAAAGAGAGAGGGAGAGAGAGAGATCGAACAAATCTAGATCGCATAGATCCAAGTCAGACGGAGAAGATGAAGGAAAGAAGAAGAAGAGGAAGAGTTCTTCAACATACTTGACCAAGTTCAAATCTGTGGCTTTTAGATCCGTGGTTGAAGAAGAGAGGTACTGTATCCTTCCTGTATTTATCTGGTATCCGATTTTTTATAATTTTTTTTTCAAGATAGTTGTGGAAGTATCAGAGACATGTCTGACTGTGTTCCACGCGTATTCGTGTTGGACACGTGTCTGCCACAACCACGTCAACCCCTATTGGAGTATTCGTACTTCCTAGCTTGTAACCCATCACTCCGGTGATTTTTATTTACGTTTAATGTTAAGTATATCAGTATTTTTTTTTTTTTACGAATTCTGGTGCTTCTGTTTTTTTACATTCTAATTGTGTTTCTACATTCCAGTCCATTCTGTTACTGGTTGGAAATTGTTTAAGTCCTTGATCTTCAAGGCATAGAAAAGAGCTTAGCGGTAATCTTACGCCTTGCTATAATCGTTTGAACAATCACGATTTAAGAATCTCATGCCAGTTCAAATAATTAAGATTGTACATATTTGGATTTTAAGTCCAATTAGACATTGGCACACTCACAATCCAAAAATACACCCAACATTATTGTACGATGCATTTCGATACATTACGAAAATGATATGTATTGCTTAAGTGTATCGGTTTGCATCGTATTGTGTGTTAAACAATAAGATACACCCGATACGAGATGATATGTATGAGTCGTCCAATATTGGACAAAACAGATCAAATTTTTTTTTTTTTCTGAATTTTAATTAGAAAACAATGCATTTTTACTTGGAAATAATTTTTTTAAGCATTAGGTAATGAAATGTTTCACCATCTATAGTTTTATAAAATGAAGTCTTCTTTTTTATTCGTTCCATCGTAGGAACAAATAGTTTGATTGTTAAAAATGTCCTCCTTTGGCCAACTTTAGATGTTAGAACTAGAACTCTCCAAACTTTGATATTGATGAATTATAATAAAATCTTAAATACTTATAAATTGTTATTTTTTTGTTTTGGTTCTTGTAGTCTTTTTAAATTGTTTTATGTGAGAAATTTGTGGTGTAATGAAATGTTATTATGACATTTTGCCATAAGCATATGTATTTTTTAATATATTTTATAAAATTGTATATATCTTATGGTACACGATAGCGATACGTTTGTTTGAAAAATGATACTTGATCCGATACACGTTTTGACAAACTTGGTTATAAGTAGTTTATCAATCATAAAAACTAGTAGTTTTTGTAGAACCTAATTTGATTTTACTGTGTAACAATAACGTGTGTTAAATGTCGGTCTTTAGAGTTGGTCCAAGCACATGCCTTATTTTAAGAAAGAGCTATGGTTATTGCTTAAATCTTGCAAAATCGGGATCCTGTCTTGAATCGGTGGGGTCTAAAGAATCTAGATTGTAGGATCGGATCGAGAATCATAAGATCCTACGAACGGCAAAACTGAGATGAAAAAATTTATGACAATACAAAATTCTTAAAAATAAGAATTAAACAAAACTAGTATATATGCAAATAAAAATGTTATTATAAACAAAAACTTGGAGATATGACTAATATTTGAGAAACTACAATCTGAGTATTGAAGATGGTTGAAAATCAAAGGCGAACTATTAACCTTGTGGAATTTTGTGAAGAGAAATGGAAGAATTGAAGTATTTTGATCTTAACTTTCAGAAAGCGATGTAGAAGAGAGACTGAAAAGTTGAGAGATTTTTAAATAAACAACTTTGATTGTTCGACATCAAAACACACAATAAATAAATAAAGAAAATAATAAGAATGGAAAACTATCTTGCTATAATAAATTTCCAAGAGAGGAGATGAAGCGTAACTGTTGCATTCAACTTTTCAAAGAAAGAGATTAGCGAATGAAGAAAGATTTCAGTAATGAAAAAACTTTAAGTAACTTTTCTCATTTGTCAACATTCCCCACTACAATGATAATTATATAAGACAATCACATTTGCATTGAGGGTTAGGTATTAAAATAATAAATGTAAATTGGGTCAACTCAATAACTAAATACGCCCAAGTCCTAACAAACAAAACAAATACCTTGGATCAATAAAATCCCAATTTGAATCGAGAACTTGGTAAGAAAATTGGTAGTGGGAAAGAGTGAAACTGAACCCTTAAACACATTTATCAGAACAACAATGATATGCAGATCAAGATTTCTTGCCAAGTTTCCTATCCCAAGTAATGTGACATAATTTTTACCATCAAATAAATGAGTCTTATTAATATTTAATGATGAAGATTGTGTCACATTACTTGAGATGAAAAACTTGGTAAGATACTTGGTAAGCATAACATTACTGTTTTCAGAATTTTATGATAGTTATAATTGTCTTCCATTTAACCCACTTTGTTTTGACAGTCAGCAGCTCCACACCTTCAAAAGAATGGCAGTTCCTTTCTTCTAAATGCCGCATGATATAAAGACAACCACAGCTGCCCAGACAATAGTTGTGGCTTAAGCTTTAGTTGAGTTGATTTTAGTTGTTATTATTAGAGTTGTTGATATTGTATGATATGTGGTATGTGTCATATGTTTCAATGCAGTGAAAAATCTATTTGTGCAAGGCACCTTTTTTAATTATACCATAAACAGTGAGACAACTGGGTTTTCCATATATTAGTATTTTCTTTTTGGTTCAATCTAAAATAAACAAGCCTGCAATCATCTTCTTCTCCTGCAATTCTCTTCCACTACTCGTGCTTCTTGTTCAAACAGATGAAACCCTTGCTATATTTCGTTACGAAGGTTGTCTCTCTTTCGATCTCTGCGCAAACACACAATTGTTTATGAGTTGAACACTATATATAGGGGTTTTTAAATATTAATCTAATTTTTTAAATTGAGTGTCTTACAATACAGGATACTAGAAGGTTCATCTTATTTATTTTTGAAAAACAATAGGCGTTGCGATGCACATTTTGACGACCTTAGTTATTGCATTCCCTTGCTGTCTACATGTAGTCGTGCACACAGGCATGCATGTGGGCATGTCACTTTGCTAGTAAGGCACTGATATTTGCTGAACAAGTGTTTGACTAGTCAACTGAAACATAATCATGTATTAAATGGGTGGTGAATCCCAAGTTTTGTGGCATTGATCACGTATTTATCTGAAACATAATCACGTATTTATCTGCTGCTTTATAGAAGTCATTTTGCTGAAAAAAAGATATGATTGAAATGGCATTGATTAGTTCTACTATCTGCTGCCAGTAGCTCTTTTAAACTTTATCCGCAAGGATGAAAATTTGTCATCTAATTACTTGTCCTGAAGACTCTTTTGGTTATGATTAAACATGGTTTGGAGTAGTTCACAAGCATGTATATCTATCTCCCTTTTAGGAACTAATCTACGCAGGTTCTTTCTTACCATTGATATGTTAGGGCTGTAAGTTTGTTTAGCCACCAAATTTCAAATTAAATTCAATTGACAAGATAGTCTAGATATATGATTTATCCTTATTGTGTTCTGATGATTCACAGGTTTTCACATTTTCTCCCTTTCCTAGAGTTGGAGAGTCATAGCTTCTGATTACAATTTATCATAATGAAAAATGCAGTAATAAGGGTTTTTGGGAGGGAAATTTATTGAAGTAACATTTAATCACGAGAAATTTATAGGTCGGCAATGAAATAAGATGCCGGGGGCAATCTTAGTTGTTAGAGTATCCAACTCAAAACAATTGGCAACGGTTAGAGTAGCCGCTCAAGTATATAAACAAAACTTGTTGGTCCTAATTATTCAATGTAGGATACAAGCTCTCTTAACACCTATCCTCACGTGGGAGCTGGACTCAAACGTGGGGTGAACAAACAAACAAAAATCATGCATACCAGAATTCAAATGTACAATAGACTTGGCCCACTCACCACCCAATACCCAGTTCTCGTACCATATTAGAGCATCCCACCCAAAACTAATTGGCAATGAATGAAATAGCCCCTCAAGTATATTAACCAACTTTGGGGGTCCTAATTATTCTGGGTTACAAGCTCTCTTAACATTACTAAAACTGGAAAAAATAGCATTTTCATCTAGTCTAACAATATATTTGGTGTCTGATCTCACAGTGTATATGGCTAAACCCCTATATTCTGAGGCTTTAAACTATCTGCTTTAATATGAAGAAATTTTAAATATCTCTTGATTTTATTACATGGAGTTAGACATGACTCGTGCTTGAAAGATTTATGATCCCTCCTGAGGTATTGCATGCATCTAGACATGTAACTGCTCATTTGTTTGCAACTCAAACCGGTGTTCATAGTGCTATGATTAGCACCCTTGTTCGTTGTTTGACAATAGACGTAGGTTATATGCTTAGACATTTAGTAGCGCTTGTTGCAGTACTCTGAGGGATCGTTTGGTTGCACTACAAGGGGGTGTTTTAAGGAGTCATAACAAATTAAAACTCTCTAATCCAACCTTGTTTGGTTGCTAAAAATGCTCCTTATTATATCTAGTCTTATTTCGTATACATAGAAAATAAGTATAAAATAATACGTTCTACCCATACTATTGAGCCAATTTTAATACCACGTGAAGAGGTGGTATTATAATACAGTATAGCCGTATTAAGTTATATTTTACTATTTTGCCCTCCAACTAAACGAAAGGATGCATAACTAGATTCGATTGATGGTTTTTTGGTCAATATGTAACTAGCACTCTAGTATCCCACTCTTATCCAATATCTTACTAAACACTAAATTACAATGAGTATTATTTTTATCCCATATTTAATCTCATATTTTATTCACTTACACAGAATTAGCTTGTATTAGCTAATACGATTCTTTCTTTTACTATATAGCAACCAAATGAGCCTGAGTATTACATAAAATATGTTTTGTTATATTTCAGCGTAATGGATGATAGAACTTTTTTACTTAAGAAGTGTTTATTGCCACTACTATAGCAATGCCTGTAAAGCTAGTTGGCTGTTGTTTGTGGGGTAGGGTGGGGGTGGGTTCAGTTATTGGCATCCAGGCTAATGGCCTTGGGAAAAAAAGCACCATTGAGCTATGCCACCGTGTTCTCCAATGTTGTGTCAGAAGCAGTGCACTGAAAGCATGGATGAGCTCCATGAGGGTAACTTGCATTGACAAACAAATAACTTGGCACACTGCTTATCCTTTGTTAAGCTTGGTAACAATTCTTTGTAATGGCACCCATGACTTCTTGATATACAATGGAGTTCTTTAAAAGAGTTTTTGTAAGCTACTGATTTGGAGCCATGAAATGGAACACGAACTGCATTGGGGCATGTTGTTGGTTGTCTAGATAGCCATCCTTTGTGGTAGCTTACATGCCAAACACGTAGTCATTTATAACCAGATTCTTCATGGAGAAAACTCATTTCTCTTTGATGCCTTGAGGAAGAGATTGGGCATAGGTTATGCTCATTAAGAATTAAACAGGGATATTTGGAATGGCACTGACTATGTGAGTGGAGAACTTGATAGTAAAGAGAAATCAGCTTTCACCATCTATGATTTTTATTACTGATCAGTGACAAAAAAGAGGCTTTTGATCCATCTATGATTTTTTTGGGTTGATCATGGTTTGTTTGGTATATCTTTCCTATTTTTTGTAAAAATTGTTATTTTTCTGAAAATCAACTCCTGATGGAATTTTTAGCCTTTTTCTTTCTCTATAATTTTTGCGTAAAAATGCTAAATTTTTTTTTGGTTTTTCAGTCTGAATCCTTCATTTGTTTACTTGTAATATCACAGGAAAATACTAGAGCAATAGGTTGTTAAACACTATGTATGTAATAGAGCCATGATACCCATCAGTTTGCATTGAATTATGTCTTTTTTTTTTTTTGAAATTGGTCGCTTTTTCCCCCCGTAGATTTTTGTTCAAAGCATACTTTTACATGTTTTTTTTTTTTTTTGTCTTGTTTCATTTTTTGGCTTCAATTGTTGATTGAGAACTACATTTGTGCATAAATTATTTGTTAAATTGATTCGAACCTTATCAGGCATTAAGTGTTCAGATGCTTGTAACAAGAGAGTTTTTGGTCTTGATCCATTTATGCTTGTTTTCAAAAAGGAATGAACAGATACTTTAGGCTGTCAATATCATCTACCTTGCACTGTTCTGTTTTACTGCCTATTCTTCGCTCCTTGAATGCTACCTTTGATTCTGTCATTAAGAGTCCAATGATATTTCTTTATTGATGAATTTCTTTTTTTCTTTTGACAACACAGATTATTTCTTCTCGGTTTGGATAAGTACGGGAAAGGTGATTGGCGAAGTATATCTCGAAATTTTGTGGTAACAAGAACGCCAACACAAGTGGCAAGCCATGCGCAGAAGTATTTCATTCGTTTAAACTCTATGAACAAAGATAGGAGGCGATCGAGCATTCATGATATCACTAGTGTTAACAGTGGTGATGTAGCAGTGCCCCAAGGGCCAATTACGGGTCAAACAAATGGTTCTGCAGGAGTTTCAAGTGGCAAATCAAACAAACTACCACTTCAAGCCCCAGCTGCTCCCCCTGGAGTTGGCATGTATGATGCACCAACTATAGGGCAACCAATAGGGGGACCCCTTGTTTCAGCAGTTGGCACGCCGGTAAATCTTCCTCAACCACACACATGGGATATGTTGTTAGGAACCCAGTTCCCGGGACATTAGTTCCTGGTGCCCCAGTGAATATGGGTTCCATGACATATCCAATGCCGCACACACCTGCTCATAGGTAATTTGGTGTTTAGCTTTGAAAATGTACAAAGGACTGAAGACTATAGAGATCGCATGCTCATTTTAGGGCCGTTGAGTTCTTGATTTGGGCGGGAATAATAATTGCTTATCTTGCAGACGAAAGTGTGCTTTTAAGTTATCTCATTAGGTTCAAATAAGACCTAGGAAAAGCTAGGTGCATCTGTATAGGCAGCTCTGGATAATGTGGCAGTATTCAGGGGTAGGACAGCATTCTAGTTTCTTTCTAGTTTTAAAAGGGAATGTTCCTCGCAAATATTAGGCATAGAGGTAGTTGTTGCTGAAGGGAAGTTTTCTTATGCCGAAATTTGTAAAGAACCGAATGCATTATTTTTGAGTATTTTGAGTAGCATATCTTTGCACGTTTGTGGCCAATTTTTCAGAGTTCAGTTTTGAGAATTGTTTTGTTTCTTTGCTAGGGATAATGATCAGTTGGCAGGTCCTTCAAAATGTTCAGTTTTACCAACTCATTGATGGTTAGAGTTTATTTAGGATATTGTGTAATGTGCTTTGACAATACAAGCGACGGACAGAAGGAAAAACAAAAGGTATGGGCATACTAGCCTAAAAGTTGAGATTCTGCCTGTTTGGGTGTGCTATTTCTTGGGAACTTATACCGAAATGTATCTTGGAGATTTCGCAATGAATTGAGAGTTTAGGTTTTATTTCATTCTAATTTTAGAATTTTAAAGACACCTGTGATAACTAGAAATGTTTTTGATAACTGGGTAGCACCTTTTACCAATTACTTTTTCTTAAAGCCAACTTAGCACCTGGCAAACAGCATCTTGACTTGAACTTAAACTTTGCAAAGGAAGCCAAAGAGTGACTTCGAAATAGTAATTTCACTGCACACAATTACGCTTGTGAATGTATTGGATTTTAATCTGAATTTGCATTTGATTATCCGAATATGATTTGTATTTTATGGCCCTGTAGTTTTATAAAAGTTGTGATCCAAGAGTTGTCCTTTTTTATGACTATCATAAGTTGCTTACTCCCAAGCCCTCTCCCTTCTCTACGCAGCGCTCTTCATATCCCTTCTCATGGTATCCCCCGTGTGTATGCCAATGAGAAGATTTGCGGGTGATTGACTGCCCTGACGATTTATCTTTCTCCTCCTCACTTTAAAATGCATGTGTTAAACATCATAAATATATGAATTATTTTTGTGATTGGTCGAAAATTAAAATGAAATGGAGGATGGGGGTATTTGATCCATTTGAGGTGGGGGGTTGTGCTGGTATGTTTAAGGTTTGAGTGTGAAGTGGTGGATTGGGTGGAGGTGGTAGGTAGGGCTGGGCACTGACTTCGACTTTAGTCGGAGTGAGTTTTTTTCTTCCGCCCCCACAATACGTTGCCTTTGCCTCCACCAATCGGAGTGGGACCATGTAAACACACACACACACACACACACACATATATAGATAGAGAGAGAGAGAGAGAGAGTTACTATCTGAGAGAGCTTCGTCGGAGATGTTTTGTTGAGATCTCAGATCTAAGGATCTGTGAGCTATTCCATCGAAGGAGTGAGAGAGATGGAGGGGCTAGGGTTGCTCTTCCTTGACTCTGTGTGTGTGTGTGAGAGAGAGAGAGAGAG